TTTTATTGAATCAGTCTCACTGTCCTCGAACTTTGGCGCGTTTGGAGCTAAAAGAAGGCATTTGACAGATTTAGAATAGTAACGCTATAATTAAACATTACCTCACATTTAAACTATTCACAAGATACTGCTTTAGAACGATAACCAAATTGACAAAATGCGCATTGTCGTGCATGGAAATTCACTGCTGAAATTTACCAGCTAATTATTTATTTTCTGATTTACTTTAAGTTTTTCTAGATTTAACCTGATTTCTACATCGTCAACGTCAAATTCCCAGCCCCACATCCACCACTTTTTCAACCTCCTGCTATTCCAAGTTGATAGGGTCAAATACATCACTTACTGTTAGGTCTCGTCCATCCAGATCCAGTTGTATCCTCACCACACACTACAGGATTCGTAGAGTCTACACAGGATACGACTCTGACCGTGTACTTGGTAGCCGGTTCCAATCCACTTATAACGCAACTCGGCTTGTTCACATCTGTCACTTCGCAGGCTTTACCTGCACCGTCTCCTCCTTCAATGGAAGCCTTGTAACTGACAATGCCCTGGGCTTCGGTTGGTGGCTGAACAGCAACAAGCACCGACGACGACGTGTCTGGCTCCACGGTCACAGATGCTGGATCTGTCAAAACAGAAAGCAATGCCAAATCGTAATTTCAACTCCTTCCACACTTGGTGATAATATTTTGTAAAAATCGCTTTGAAATTTCATCTTTATACTCACCTCCTAGAAACTCATTAGAAATTTCGGAAGGCCAAGTTATGTGTTCCATTTTTCAAAACCTCTGTTACTACCTTACAACTACACACATCAAACGCGATCTCTTCCCAGTTTACAAAATGGTAACCATGCGTTTATTCCATTGAACGGGCAACAAATCATGACATGAATTAAGCCAATCACACAGTCTGCACGCTATGGTCAAATGCGTTCAAGAGTCTTAGTACAGCATTCACTATCCCAACTGATTAGCACTATATTAGGCAACCTAGTAGGCAGAACAGCTAATGCTGGAACTTGTGAGGTTGTTGTGTTTCATTGAAGGGATTTCGTGATGCTGCATTAAAACCTCAATTGCATTCATTTCGTGTATTTACAACATCAGGTACACCACAAAGAGCCAAAACTATCCAGTTCGGTAGATATCTACATCTGCTTACAGTCAGCAAGAAGACTGCATTGCAGTCCGAATATCAACTGACCATTAGGTTGTGTCCATCCAGACGCGTTCTCGTCCTCACTGCAGACCACAGGATCCGTCTTGTCAATGCAGGCTCTCACTTTGACTCCATACTTCGTGCCCGCTTTCAAGTCTGTCAATTGACACTTTAGCTGCTCCTCGGGTTGAATTGAACATTTAGAATTTGAGTTATACCCATCTTGATACACCTTGTACAGGCCTATCCCTGTGTTTACCGCTGGTGCTTCGAAAGTAACTGTCAAAGATGTCTTCGTTTGTCCCTCCACTTTCAAGGATTCTGGTTCTGAAGTAGAAAACACAAAGTGCGCTGTGGTGTTATGCTAAAACAGGCACAAAATGAAGCCTTACCTCAATTATCCATTTATGACACACTGTTCAGCTTTTATCGGTGGCCTCACTTTGTCCCTGCTTCTAAGCTTTGAATTGGACATGTAGGCACATTAATTGACTCAACGGGCAACGTTCGTATTAATATGTGATGCTTTGAAACCCTCCACCATCACCACCAGACATAACGCAAACAGAAATTTTTCGCCACAATAACTCAAAATAACAGAGATAAAGGCAAGAGTGACCTGGTGAACATTCTAACTGGGACTTACTGTTCGGCCTTGTCCATCCAGATCCCGACATTTCTGTACTGCAAAAATCGTCTGGTGCTTCAGTGTTGCAGGCTCTGATAACAACGCTGTACTCTGTACCTACTTCCAAGCCGGTTATTTCACAAATAGGCTTATCCAGAGATTCGGGGATGCATTTTTTAGTTTCGCCTCCCTTCAAGGAAATCTTGTAGCTGTCGACTCCGTTAGCATCGGTGTGTGGGACAATATTAACAGCTACTGTTGTGGGGTTTATTGGCTCCACCGAAACTGATACCGGCGCTTTATTAACACAAACATGTAGAGATTTCATTAATCAGGGAACGCTTTTTTAGAAACTAGTGCAGTGCACCAATGCTTTAATGGTCACTCACTGTTGGGTAATGCCCATCCCTCAAACGTCCCGACATCAGTGCAGACAGGAGATTTTGCATTGGTGACGCAGGCTTGGATTTTACCTGTGCACTTTTCACCTGCCCTCAGTTGGCTAATTTCACATGAATAGAGAGTAGGCGATTTTTTTTGGCATGGTACTTCTGGTTTTCCTTCAACAATCGCACGAAATTCTACACTTCCCGAAGGGTTTGATACAAGGATTAAAACACCTAGCGTTTCAGTTGACATTTGCATCGGAATTATGTCAAGTGCTAAAAAAGAAAATAAATTTCGTGATTTTCATGCGCGGTAGTTTTTCCTTAAAATTCTTTAGTGCTCTGGTAATCAGACCATGCTGTGTTTGAACGTTGTTTTTATAAGTTCGAGCAGGCTCTGAAAGCTATCGCTAAATTTAATTTAAATACTTGCCAAAATCTACACGTGCGTGGACAATGCTTTTTGATCTCAGTCAAAATCTTCGCCAATGCATTGCCACGATTCAATAAACAAATTTAAGCCTAAGCTTTTGGCTTACTGGCGAAATATCCTTGTCTAAATTAACCAAAAAATAAGAAATTAACTCAACTTAAAATAAGTATTGAATGGTCAATGGAAATGACCAGGTAATGCAATTCCTTTTTTTCCCTAAAGGTACTTATTTAGACGAACTACCTTCGGCATTACTTGATATACATATCATTGGCAAATGCAAACTCAAAATAAACACATTAACATTAATGCATATTAGAGCTCAGTGCATATTTGCTGATCGGCATTTCCTGTCTACTTTAAACTTTGCCAATATGACAACAATGAAAGTCAGAAAACGGGTTACCTGGTGTTCCATCGGTGCTCTGAGTAGCGATAGATGATAATGTTGTCTGGGTTGATACAACAGTATCTAAAATTAAAAAAATACCTATGCATATGGCTCAGGAGTAAAATCTGTTTTGAATTGACCAAATGATAAACTACTTGAGCAAATGAAATGAGATGCTAGTTAGCCGCAAAATGCAAAGTGATAACATACAAGCATACAACTCAAATACACATTCCAAGGTATACAAGTAGAGCATGTACACATGACAAATGTTGGGATAACAGCAGCTGAAAACACTTTTTAACAAAAAAGAAGAAACCGACTAACATTAAGAATTCTGCTGCGCTTTTCGCAAATATTTGTCGCCATCATCTGGCATTCGTACGTAATCTACAACCCATTTTAGTGTAGTAACCTTATATTGCACGAATAAACGTGATTTCAAGTGCTCGGAACCTGAAACTACCTTCAAATCAATTCAAGCGCATTGGATCTGATTAACAATACTGACCAATACGTAAGTCAGTGTTCACGACGATTCCTCCCACTTTCAAGTACTACTTTAATGTAGGCCTAAAAATCTACGTCAGATAATATGATACACTTTGGTGTTCAGTAATATCTTTAGATACATATCAAATTGGGTTCATGGGAAACACGTAGACGGTCTAAATAACTGCCAATAACATTCGACATTCTAACATTATGTGACATTTATGTGTTTGCACTGATTAAACTTATAAATAAACTGTCAAAAATCAACAACATAGTAAACAGGTGCATTAATAAGTAAAGCATTTTGGACATCTATAACAATTCAAGCAAAAAGCAGGCATAAGGCTCCAAAGCTGACTTAACTGGTTTTTGAGCAGATAGGAAAAGCTAATACCAGCATCCATAGGTATAATGTAAGATCCATCCTCCGATCAAGAGCTCCACGGTGAAGACGACTCCTTTCACATTCTTTTATACCTGCGTAAGACCTTTAGATAATATACTACGGTATATTTAAACAAACCATTAATAGTATAAATCGATCGCATTTCAGTGCTTTGAGATTAAATATTATCTAAATGTATTAAAATTTTATTGGTTTTGATACGTTGTCGGTGTACAATTAATAGTCTTGATTTGCCACGCTTTTAAGTTCCTGGGAACTGGAGATGCATCGACAAATATTACCCGATCTACCAGAAAAATCGACGCAAATTGTCTGCTAACATAGTGTACAGTCTATACTAGTACGCCTTTCTCAAGTGTTTTGCATATTGCAGCCGTTAGTCGCTACATATCGGGCTGTATAAATGTAACTGATATGAAAAAGGGCGGAAATTTTGGTATTCCATTAAAAGACTTGCCAACCTCATGCTGAAAATAAAATATCTGAAGAATTGTTGGTAATGGGCAGCAGAGATACTCATGTGCCTAACACTAGTGCATGCTACAGCTAGACATACATTAGAAAATTGCTTTTCACGATTGCTACAAATGCAACTAGTTATCAGGGGTTAACTTATCACCATTTTAGAAGTCTCCTGCCTATTCATTGCTTGAAAATAAGCAAATTTTAATTTTTGGACCGTCCTGGCTCTTGAATATCCACCTACAAAATTACGGTAGGTTTCAAATATCCGTTTAACTGACATGATCAGAGCCGCCAAATTAGAATTTGATATTAGGGTTCAGCACCGTTTTCAGGTGCTTTTATTCTTTTCGCAATTGACATCGCCATCCTTATCTGTAATAGGTGATCAAATCTTAGCACATAATTTTTTTGCACACATATATGGAATGTGTGGCCATACATGTGACTGCCAGCACCCACATCTTCCTCAGCACTTCGATTTTCCATTCCGATTTTGGTGTTCTCAAAAGTAACTTGTCAGAGGAATGCTGTTTTAAAATTGTTTGAACATGTCATTAGAAATGATGCCAAACACGCCAGACAATTTTGTCTGATCTGACATAACTCGTTTCATTTCCCAATTCCGTAATCGGAAATACTTAGTCTGCACTACTGGAAGGAGCATTTGTGCTTCAGGACAGTAACATTGATGCTTATATCTAATATATTTTGCCCTTGATTACATTTGATCATATTTTGCCCTTGATCACATTTTATTAAACATCTTAAATATTCATAGTAAATTCCCACAAATGGCGATATATAAACAGTGGCAAGAAAAAACTCATTAACGTAGCCGACAATGCTTGTTTTCCTATCTACATCGCAATATATTTGTGAAACACATAGTCTAGCACAAAAGCCAAGTTCGCTGAATGTTTTATTTATTCGCAAAACAACACTGAGGCTCCCGATACCTGCCTTTTACAGATTCGATGAAGTTATGACCGCAAGTCATAACCACTTGGTTTTATTTCCTGGCCTGAGATGTTGGCGAATTCATTCATGAACAGCTTAATGGCCATTTCGAGGCAGATGCCTGCATATATTCTGACTAACATGCTCGAGTTACATCATGCAGTGTATTCAGTCTCTCCAGTGTGGACTACCTATCATATCAGTCCATTTATTTTTTGGTCCAGTCATAAGATGTGATAGATATTATAAAGCACTAAGTAACCAAACACCTGTACCTGAAATATCTCCATATTTATTTCCGTATAATCAGCATTACTATTTAAATCAAAAAGATAATATTTATGTCATTTTACATGCAAATTCTCTGTCATGTTGTAACAAAAATTTAACCGTAATCAATCTCATGATCTTAAGCAGATTCTACGCGCTTGAAACAGTATAGCTCACAAGCTATTTGTCTTATTTCTTGAAAGTTAATGTAAGGAAATAAAGGTCACTGTAATCTCCACGTAAAGACAAATATTCTAAAATATTGTGGTTCTTCAAGAGAATACAGATATTATTTTTGTGACTTAATTTGAATAGATTTTTTTCTTTGAGTCCAAAAAGCAAAATTTAAATAAAACAAATGCCTTTTACTGCTTGCCCCCGACCTAAAAAGGCCCTATTGTGGAACATCGCGGCTGCCGATGAAAAGTAAGTGTTTTTTATAAGAAATCGAGGCACAAACGACGTGGGTAGATCACGAAAACCCAGTGCATCGATGCCGAAACGGGACATCCGCTTGGTGAAGGTTCTCATGCGAATCTCATGGGACATAAAGGCTGAACTGCATTACAAGCTCCTTGCAACTGGTCAGACGGTGACTGCAGAACACTACAGACGACAACAGCGCAAATGGACTGAAGAAACGGGCAGAACTGGCCATCTACTGGGCAAGGAAGCAGGTAAGTCATATTGCTGCTACATGGCAATTCTCGATCACCTCACGTTGCTGGCACGACTCAAAAGATCCTCTTGAACTTGGGATGGGTAGTTCTCCCACATGCAGCATATTCTCCATACTTTGTCCCACGCGATTACCACTTGCGTTAGTTAAGAGTTGGTGCATGGTCATAGTAAACGAAGGACAATATTTTCATGGTGTGGTGGCTGTTCCCTTTTTGATATTACATAATTTCTTTGAAAACTCTTTGTAAATTAAGTCCCACTCCTAAAAACGGTGAGTTGTAAGGAATATATTTATAGGCTGAGGACATTAATAGAACAAATCAATTCCCACATAATGCAAAATACTAGAATGTGTTTAGGTGATTTGTACAGACTTATTAAATCACGCCTTGATAAGAACAAAGAATTCGCCTTTTATCCAGTTGTCTATAATTAAACCACCCTCAGAACCACACCCAATATACTTAAGTAGTTCTTCGTGGGTGGAGACATCGAGATTTCATGCACTGTGAAGACATGCTTGTAAGCACTGGCACTCACTTAACTTACTCGCCAAAGAAACCAATTCACTTTTGCACTATTAGCACTCAAAGTGAGATCAAATGCATTTGCAAAGAAATAGATTGGGGGACCTAATGGACGAATGGGTCTCCACAATATCTTGTCGTTAGTCTGGAGAATTCTCAATTCCATTTTGATCATTCTACTAGCTTTCGTGAATTCATGCTCTGTAACACCCAGGTGTGTAACTCCGATGCAGGTACTTGAATCTCGACGATGCTTAGACTGTGTGATAAGACCAATGCCAACGACAATTCTTGAAAAATGTGCAACTGGGTGCCAACTTGGAGTGGTTTGAGTTAGAAGGTAGGGGGCTGTGAAGGTGATGGAATAAAAATGCCACCGGTGCTACACCTGTATGAACCATTTGTCTGTTATTTTCCGGACATCCCTAATGTTCCTTGTCCCCTGCTTGGTAGCCACAATAATTGAACCTGTATAAGCGCATTATTGACGGGGCTTTAGTGAGTAATATTGTTACAGAGCGCCCGCCGATCCAGTGGTACAGAGTGTTGCCGAAGTACGCTCACAGGTACCTCAGCAACTTGGCAGTGTTCTTCAGTATTCTCCACTTTTGATTTGTCAGACTTTTAGCAAACAGGTGTGTCAAACATTTATCCATTCTTTTGCAAAATAACATTTTCTCTTAATTTTTTATAAAGCCCAATTTTAAAACTTGATTTCTGCTCCGAAATCCTTATACTGAAAGTCTTGGTGTGCTTTAACCTAGCATACCTGAACCATACTCAGCTGACACAACGTCCCAGACGGAACATTTACTCAGATCCTGACGAAAACCCTCATGTTATACCTGACTACCCTTGTTTTATCGATTTCATGTTTCATCATGTTTAAATTCATCTAATTTTGGAGTTTTTTCATTATTTGTCAAATTCAGCACCACATACTGACGTGCATATCGCAAGTCTGTGCGGGTTTTAAAATGTAAAAACAAATGACACCCATTTAGACGATAAGAAGTATGTCCAGTTGACCCAAAATAATACAAGCAACCGTAGTCTACGCCCATGTCGAATCGGAAAACATTTCTGGTATTCAACATAGACTTCGTAACGAGTATTGCTTGTTGTCAATCGTGTTTATTCACACCCCTTAATCCGGTCGCTCCATCCTCCGACACAGGGTTCTCCGCGAATCCTCAACTTCCCCTTCATTCGCACGAATATTTATCTTGGATTATCCTCACACCCAGGTCTCGATGTTAGAGTATCTATGACTCACACATCTGAGGTAAAAGTACACACGCCAATGTCACCCACGACACAACGACACCAACGCGATGGAGCTCTGAGGTACACGGTCACGTTCACGTCATCTCGGTCTTTTTTCTTCATCATGGGTATCAGGGCAGCGTAACCTAGCCAAAGTTAGTTTAGTGGCTCCGGCGTGGTTAAAGACCCCATGCTAGGGCCCACAACATGCTAATATCATCAGAGTGTTCATTGGTGCTGTAAAAGCATGTTTTTCTTGGAAACCACATCTCTAGCGTCTCGGTTGGCTGATTCGTTAAAAGCGGCATGCGCACTTAAGCTAGGTTGGTGTAGTGAAGTTTGAAAAACGTCTTGAATATTGGCTGCTTTCAAAGTTGTGAAGATGCGCGTTTTAGGCCCCTACGTTTTATGATCGGAAGGAAAACGCTGGATAGATATCCTGGAAACTCATAAAAATAGATTTATGGAGACAACCGTCTATTAGGCGATTCAAGCAAGTTGCGTTGTTGTCGTGCGGGAGTGTTAAAATTTCTGTATGACCAGTGGGGATGTCGACCGAGTCAGTCTGGATTATCTTCGAAGTGTAAAAATGGCTGAATGACCGGGTGAATGCATTAGGTAGTGGGGGTAGCACATGCACAGGGTGGGCAGTGTGTCTGGGAATTCGACAAACGGGTTAGTGAACGTGAATCAAAGCGATTCATTCAAGACACCCAAAATGCATTGGAAAAACACCCTCAGTTGTGTGTTTTAGTCTTCAATCCCCGACATCTGACCCAGTCAAAAGTCGTTCCTTCAAACATTAAACGACAGATAGGCAACTAACTAACACAGAAGGGAAACGAATGTATTGCAGAAGACCCTAGCTAGCTTTAGTCCAGAAATTGAGAGTTCCAACAAGGTCATCCTGTAGTTCAAATTTTCAATGGGCGCCGCCATAGAGGGGTCAGCTCTACAGACATTTGTGTTTGCCGAAGAATTTATCATTTCAGTGTTTTAGCCTCAAATTCACCCAATTACTGCTTTACTTTCAACAAAGTTAAAGTCGAAACGTAAATTACTTACAAAGGTATTTATTTAAAACAAAGACAATAATCAGAATGTTCAAACCAAACAAATTTGCTTTTGAAATATTGGAAAATCAAAGCGTAAGTTAAAAGACAAAAAAGAATACTGCACAATGATTAGAAGGACACTAGTTTCCATCACGAAATCACACCCTATTCCTTTGACACAATAACCGTTTCCAGGTCAGATGTTGAACTAAAAATGAAGGTAGTAATGATATTGTGTGCGCCGAGAAAAATCCCATGCCTATTAAAACTTCTATAATCGATTATCACAGAATGAGGAAGCGACCTAAATTTTTGCAAATTTATAAACCCTGAAGCCAACAGAATAAACTTTGGAGTGTCAACCATCCACACTCTCATGTTCACCGAACATCACCAACCTGCTAGACTTGATTGCGAAATTCCCATGTAAAATACAAAGTGTTTTCCGGACCAACTCTCACAGTCTACAGTGGTTCACGTAGGTGTGTTATCTATTTAAAGACTCAGGTGTGTGAATGGTACTCATTGACTTTAAATAAGTTAAGGTTGGGCGAACATTGCGCGGATTCTCAATTCTCTGAAGTACCGAATTGAATTTCAATCTTCGCACACACATTACTGTTCTCCACTGTTATATCATCTGCATTGATGCATTCAACAATCGGCGATACATTAGGAAAAATTAACTAACTCGCTTTGGTCGGCATTGATGGCAGAGCGTCGCGATTTTCGTCTTTTGCAGAATACGATAACCAAAATGATGAGAATGATGAGAACGAAGAAAACCACAAGCAAACTGATAATTAGCACGTAATTTGGGGAATCCGCTAAAAAGAGAAGATCTTCCTAAGGAGCCATAATAGCGCAACCACCATGAATAATGAATTGCGTCAGTGCTTTTGTATTGAAACAACTTGAAGACACAATATCTTCAAATGTGGAGAACTAGCAGCAATCAAATTTGACCAATTACCCGGTTAAAATTACACATGTCAATCTCAAATGTTAAAATAAGAAATAAATTTAGAATGTTTACTTTTAGTAATGACCCATTTCACAATAAACTTGTGATAAAACAGACTTTATTTCGGCGTACGCTTCAATTGCAAATCAATTTACTTACAACTGCCAATAACCTGATATAAAACAACTTTCTCGCCCTGCCACGCAAATTAGTGTGTGTCTTAATATGCAAAAGTGCAATTTTCTCAATAATTTGAAGATTATTGGACTCACGACAAGTGGTTATGTTGGCTACGAGCACTTCATCGCCACATAGATTCGCATTGATGCAAGATCTCGTAAGGATGGTGTAGTTGGTACCAGGACTGAGGTTGTCGATGGAACACCCCAACGTTTCGGCTGTGGCTTTGACAGAGCATTTTGGCTCACCAGTCGGAGTAGCTTCTCGCACCATTCTCCTTGCCAATGCTTCATAGGACAATGCCTTTTTATCACTAGCTTGTGGCCTTGGAAAACTGACATAGACGCTCGTGGAAGAAATTGTTTCGATTGCCATTTGCGATGGAGCTAGAATGTAACAAAATTACAATTAGGGAAAGTAAACTTCACAATATCTGGTTGTTCTAATAACTGGGTTCTGATTTCTTAGCCTTTTGAGGGTATTTTGTCGAAAGGCTAATTAATACAATTTTACACAAACTAGAAGGTAGATCACCAAATATTAAATACTGTCATGGAATAGGGGGACCAACTACAATTCGAGGTTTCGTATCAGTACAACATTAGTTACAAGTAGACAAAGCAGCAAAATGTATAAAACCAGCAAAGTGAAACTCACGGTTGGGTTTCGTCCATCCTGACCCAGGCACCGCTTCACTGCACACTGCAGGGTTTGTGTCGGCAATGCATCCTGCGGCACTGATCTCATATTGTGTGCCTGCTTCCAGGCCTCCTATCTCACAGCTGAGAATATCCAAGGATGTTGTTTTGCACGATTTATTTGGATCTTCAGTAACGAATGCTTCGTAGTGGCCAATTCCCTTCGCGTCTGAGGGTGCCTCAAATGTAACAGTTACCGATGACGTAGAAATTGGATTCACATTCACAGATTTTGGTGCTGTCATAAAATACGCAAATATTCTCCATTAATATTGAAAATTATTACAAAAATTACTTCTGTCACAAGTGTAATGCCTGGCGTCACAGTGTTAACGATAGATCTCTGTTTGGCATTATGCATCCATACACACTGATGCCGTCACTACAGATGTTGATCTTTGTGTTGTTGATGCAGGCTTTCTCTTTGAATTTGTGCTTAGAGCAGACTCCAAGCCCGTCACTCGACACTTAAGCATAGCTGCCGATTGAACTAAACTTATTGTTTTCGAGACACCCCCAAATACCCATTACCCAACCAACTAGATCTGCAACAATATATCCAGCATCTTGCCAAACAGAAAAAGACTTTGCTAACTCTTTTTAATCTGAGTACACTCACTATTGATATTTCATGTAGATACTTAACGTAAAATAACTTACTGTTAGGTCTCGTCCATCCAGAACCAGTTGTACCCTCACCACACACTACAGGATTCGTAGAGTCTACACAGGATACGACTTTGACCGTGTACTGGGTAGCCAGTTCCAATCCACTTATAACGCAACTCGGCTTGTTCACATCTGTCACTTCGCAGGCTTTACCTGCACCGTCTCCTCCTTCAATGGAAGCCTTGTAACTGACAATGCCCTGGGCTTCGGTTGGTGGCTGAATAACAACCAGCACCGACGACGACGTGTCTGGCTTCACGGTCACAGATTCTGGCTCTGCCAAAACATAAACCAATGCCAAATCGTCATTTCAACTCCTTCCACACTTGGCGATAATATTTTGTAAGAATCGCTTTAAATTTTCATCTTTATACTCACCTCGTAGAAACTCATTAGAAATTTCGGAAGGCCAACTTATGTGTTCCATTTTTCAAAACCTCTGTTACTATCTTGGAGCTACATACAAAAAACGCGATTTCTTTCCAGTTTATTCTGTTGAACGGGCAACAACTCATGACATGAATTAAGCCAATCACACAGTCTGCACCCTATGGTCAAATGCGTTCAAGAGTCTTAGTTAGTACAGCATTCAATATCCCAACCGATTAACACTATATTAGGCAACCTAGTAGGCAGAACAGTTAATGCTGGAACTTGTGAGGTTGTTGTGTTTCATTGAAGGGATTTCGTGATGCTACCTTAAAACCTCAATTGCATTCATTTCGTATATTTACAACATCAGGTACGCCACAAAGAGCCAAAACTATCCAGTTTAGTAGATTTCTACATCTGTAAACAGTCAACAAGAAGACTGCATTGCAGTCCGAATATCAACTGACCATTAGGTTGTGTCCATCCAGACGCGTTCTCGTCCTCACTGCAG